TACTCGAACTCATGCAGCCAGGTGAGGGCTTACGGCGAGTTGTCATCTGAAGTGGTGACGACTAGAGGTGTCCGTGAGGGATGCCCACTGTTCCCATTTCTATTCAATTTCATCATAGATGTACTAATGGACTTAACGCTAACTCACTTCAGAGACTCGGGGATTGACTTGATACCAGGTTGGGAATAATCTCGTTGATTTAGAATATGCAGACGGTATGGTCCTTCTAGGCGAGGACGCTGACAAAATCCAGCTGAACGCCTTGAGCTGCAATCTACGAATGTTTGGCATGCGATTCGCTCCCGCCAAATGTAAGATGAAGTTACAGGACTGAACTAGACTACACTGACTCCTAGCTCAGAAATAGGGAGTGAAGTTGACCGCTGCACTTACTTGGGAAGTACCATTAGCCCTATCGGGTTGATCTCTGACGAAATCTCAGCACGGATACAGTGGGCTAGTTTCGCATATGCCAGTTTACACTGTCTCTAGCGTAGACATGACATCCGGCTGGTTGTCGACCAAAAGACGGGTGTACTGCTCATCAGTCCGCTCCGTCCTCCTTTATGGCTGTGAGCGAGACATGGCCATTGAGAGGGGAAGACATGAAAAGATTAGCTGTCTTGGATCATAGGTGCCTGCGCTCTATCTCCCGTGTGAAGTGGTATAATAAGGTGAGCAGTATTGAGGTTAGGCGTCGAGTGCTAGGTAAGGAGAGGTAATCAATCGATGAGGCTGTGAAATTACATTGACTGAGATGGTTAAGACATGTGTTAAGTATGCCTAGTCATCGCCTTCCTCGACCGATGGGCAATATTAGCTGATATAGGGTCAGGCTGGAAAAGAGCTAGCGGCGATCAAACCAAAACATGGCACCAGTCAATGAGATCCACAACAGTTAGTTTAAGCCAGTCATGTAGGAAGGTGTAGACTTCCTGGTTGGGGTCCTCGGGACGATAGAAACCAATGGTTGGAAACAATTGGTGATATGGCTCAAAATCGTTCTCAATGGCTGGGGCAGATGCATCCACTTCTTGTAACCTATGATTTCCAATGAAACTGTTTTGTTCTTCGTTACTTCTATTCCTTTGTCTCACACCTCTGTTTACTTTCTCTATTATGCATTTCTTCTCTTGCTTTGTGTGTCACATGGAGTGTGGCGACTTGAACTGCCACACATCGGTGCAAAGTTCTATGTCGAAAGCAGACAGACTGGCAAACTTAAATAACGACCCATTGTTTTCCTGTTAAATGCTCAAGCTAAGCTGTAATAAATTAACTTTATTGTTAAACGCCAAGTATGAATTGATCTGTTTACTCCTTATTTTCGGCAACTTTATTACGTGGGTTCCATTTTTGCTCTGACACCAAATTAATATTTACAGCTAGCAAACTACTCACAATTCCAGATGTAGAAACCTAATACGAAAATATAAGTAAGAACGTTCAGAATTACCTAATATGACTTCATGGTGGATACAAAAGTGGTTTAATTAGGATTTAAACAAAGCATTTTGTAATATTGACCAGATTAACTGAAATAGTTGTACAACAATGACGCTAGCAAGAAGCCATCCAGATTAGTGATAATAATAGTAACAAAACGAGGAAAGTGTCGAGTTTAACCTCACAAGGGCATAAAACTGGAAAAGTCATGTTATGGCTGAAATGAAAGCAAATTACAGACGCGAGAACACTGGAATATGCCAGACCGATAGGAAGACTCTAGAAGATCAGGATTTTACGGATGATGTATCTCTAATATCACACTAACCCGAAGGCTTGTGGTCAAAAACCAAATAAGCTTCCTGAAGAAGCGGCGACGGCAGGACTGCAGGTGAACATAGGGAAGACGAAGGTGATGACGATAAACCAACCAACAGAAATAACAACCGGCAGCAATCGGTTTGGAATTCTTCTGCACTCAGTATAAAGAACAAGATTTATATTTTCAGCGCCAATGTGAAGTCACTTCTTCTATATGGGTGAGAAACTTGCACTGCGTGCCACGAAAAGCATTTCCAACAGGTTGCATACTTTTATCGACACCTGCCTTCGCTCTATATTGAGGATCGAATGGCCAGAAAGAATTAGCAACAAGAAACTATGGAAACAAACTAACCAAGAATCTTTTGCCCAACAAATATGTAGAAGGAAATGGAGATAGATCGGGCATACTCTGAGAAGACTGTCAAACGACATCGTGCAATAGGCCATAGCATGAGTGGAACCTGAATAGAAAACGACTGGTGGGTCATCCGAAGGGTGACATTTAGGAGATCGTGTGAGGAGGAGATGGGAGATTATGAGCAATTGTGAGCCCAGCTAATGAAGACAGCAGAAAATAGAAGAAAGTGAAGATGTGTTGTTGAAGCACTATATTCCACCCGGAACCCAAGGAAACAAAAACAATAGTAATACATATACAATATTGACCTCTTTGTACGTGTAGTCATGGCCTCCACTTTTTCACTTATTGATAATGAAGAAAGGAGAGGAAATTTAGAGAGTCCGCGTCGGTTGGATATTCAGGTATATAATTCTAATTTTTAATTACCCTTATAAATCCTTATTTTGATTAACTGGGAAAAAATACACTGTCGTCTAATGGAGCATTGAAATGACCCATGTAAACAAATGTGTCGAACACTTATAGGTAGAATGCTCGTCATCCGGGCTTGACTCCCTGTCGATGCACTCCTAAACTTCACCCCGTTTATTAGCCGATAGTTAGCCCGGATAAGAGTCAAGGTTGAGGGTTAGGCCAGAAACTTCAGCCTTTAAAATAAACACTACTGCTACTGAAACTTCAGTGCTTCGGTTCCTACTATACACTTGGAACGCAAGCAATGTAAAAAAGTAAGAATATAATTGTTTTTGACTTCTCAGTTTATCCACACTGCTTTATTTATATGTTATTTGGAGGTATGAGTACATTTCCCTTATCTTTAAGTAACATTTTTGTCACAGTTTGTTTGTTTCACTTCATTTGTGTCATTCATAAAATTGACTTTGAGTAGTTGATATGTAATATCCAAAACTAATAATCAATTCTTTTAGGGTTATGCTAAAGACTGAATCAGTAACTGAAAGAAAGAAATAATGATGCTCATATGAAAATAGAAAAGTGTTGTTTTCAGTGGAAATGTGCGGAACAGTTTTATTTTCCCATGAATTCAATCTCCATCACATCCTTGTAACAAATGTGGAATTTTGAGAAAGATTTTATAAATAAAAGTTGCAGCCTATATAGTGTACAAAACATCATTGTTTGACAACGTATAATGAGTTCTGTTGGCTTAATCAAGTTATTCATTAAAAAACCTATAGAGACATGCTATTATTCCAGTATTTCAAATAGCACTATTACGTCTCTTCAGGTTTTCATCAAAAAATGTACTAGTTCAAACCATTCTGAAATGTTAAAACCAAGAGGAATGGATACTGAAGGAAACATTATACAAGAGAAATGGCATTTGTCATTAATATTTTTCCTTTAGATTTTGAGTGGAACATAGGGTTTCAACAGCATATCGCCATTTTTTGCTGTTCTCTGCAGTCCCCTTTAGCTGGCTCTGCGACTGCTCATAAGCTCTCATCTCCTCTTTACATAATCACCTCCATGTCATCCTTGGATGTCCAAATCGTCATTTCCCATTCTGGCTCCACTCGACAGCCTGTCACGAGGTGTCACTCATCGTGTATCCGATCTATCTCCATTTTTTTTTCCGCATATGTGATGAGCAATAAGTTCTTGATTGCTTCGTTTCCAGAGTGCGTTGGTCGCTTAGTGGCAGAATGCTCGCTAACCACGCATATGGTCCGGAGTTCATTCCCCAGCAGACACATTCCTCTACCTCGCTAAGCCTATAATTAGACTGGTAAAGAGGGAAGGTTAGGCATGAGGCCAGCAATCCTATCCCGTGAAAATAAGCACCACTGCTACCGAAACTTCGAGGCCCTAGCCTGACGCCCTATGTTCCACAGGGAACGTAAAGGGATAAAATAAAAATATTAAAAAAATCGTTTCTAAAGTTTCTTGCCGCCAATCGCTTCTAGCCACTCAAACTTCAGCATGAAGCAAAGTGGTCAGCTGTTGATGAAAGTCTGTTGCAAATACCTTCGATGACACATCAAGTCTCTGAACCATCTAGAAGAACTGACTTCACATTAGTGCTAAATATCCGAATGTTATTCTCTATGATGCGTGCAGATTTCCACATTGATTTCAGATAAATGAAACTTCTTCTTGCTTTTCTGACCCTGAACGGCTTTGGCGCTACCATCCATTCGGCCTATGACTGAAACGATGCTGCCTGGGTAAATGAAAGAGGTGATTTCCTTCAAATTCCTTCTGTTGATAGCGATTGGTAATTGTTGTTGCTGGTTAGATGTCTTTTATTAAATAATAATTGGTTGACAAATGCTCCAGTTATTTTTATGACTTCTGTTGTTTTTGCTCATCCTCTTATTTTTAAAAGCTCTTGTTGAATCAAATATTCAGTTTTAATTTTAATTACTCCTCGTCACCTGACATTTTTCCTTGCTAACTTTATTACTTTCACTTAGCAATAACCGTTTGGGGCTTAATTTCACGGGGAAAAGTCAAAGAAATCCCAACTTCCAGCACTTCTTCTAACTGTAGTCTGTGAAACAGACTAATAGTCGACAACTTTATTCTGGTACAACTGACAGTAAATCATTTCCCCGTTAAAGTTTGAGCCCATTTGTTGGCTAGACAGTACAGAGGTAATCGATAAGTCGAGGAAACTGCCTATAAGACCGTATATGAGAATATTAGTTCAACAGGCTTCTTTTATTTCAATGTCAGTGTTAGTTAAATATAAACAGGAACCTCAAGTTACAAAAGGGATCGTGCCTATAGCCAACGCAGCAAATCAAATGTAATTATGTGTAAATATTTGTTTCGCCTTGATTACGCATTCTTTTTTGTTTTTGCGCATTTTCTAATTAAGTTTCTGTGTTTATTTTTTGGCTAGTTTCTATTGAAGCCAAGTCAACGGATGAAGTATTTTCCATTCCGAAAGGTACATACTACAATTGTTCGAATATGGATAAAATTGATCTTCATCCAAATATTCGAAGTTACAGTACTGTACGTTTAACATTTGCTTTACTTCAAGCTGAAGCTTTTCGCAATAGTCCCAATCCTTCTTTTGTTGGTACAGGTAGGTATGTTTCAGTTTATCAATTCATACTACTCACTAACTATTTATTTTGCAAACACTCATAATGTTCATAAATAACTTTCGTTATGGATGGTAATGATAAATTTTTTTTCAAGAAAACATTATGATTGTAATGAAAGTTAATGTGTCTGTCTATTTAATCTGCTAATAATTCAGTGTCAGCTAATTTTCTTAGTTTAAGAATAGCTGACTGGCCTCCAAGTAACTCAGGTTAGTTGGATAAGTAGTGCTTTTTACTTTCCTAGGCCTTATCCGACCCAAGCGGGTTAGTGATGAATTCGGCATGGATATCAATCATATTCTGTATAGAAAAAAAAAAGATTTAAATAGGGAATAACTAGTTTTTTAAAACTGCTGAAACTAAAATAACTAAGTGTTTATTAGACTCGAGTAGGCAACACATGAGAAAAACACAGTAGCTACTCATAAACGTTTGTAAATATACTCAAGATATCAGAATTAAGAGGGAAAAATATAGATAATAATATATACAAGGATGAAAAAGAAAAGAAAACAATTGGCACTTTGTGCAGAGTGTGAATTTAACTGTTTTAAATATATAATTCTAGTTTTACTAACTTAATTCGAACTGCATTCCTGGTGTGAAGAAGACAATGAACAAGTCATGATGGTCGGTTTAAAATATCAATACTATTATACTTTTACTGTGACTTTGTGTCTATAATATGGCTTATCTCAAATATATTTAACTACATATAGTTTGCAACTGTTTTTTGTCTCAGTTTTAATCGGTCATCTACACTTGTGTTTATTACTTTTTTTCGGGGAATGGGGCGGAGCTGGTAGTGTTGTTCATTGAAGCTGTTTAACTCCACATTAGTAATTAAATCTATAGATGCACACTGACCTAAATGTATTATGAATTTTATCCTTGACACAGGTACCTAAAAGAGTTATACTCTGAAAATTTATGTTCAGATTTGTAACAGAAGTGAAGCTCAGCCTTGTGTTTAACGAGCACAGCTCAGTTAGTATATTCTAATGCAACTTAAGATGTTGAAATAAAGGAGTTATAGGCATTCTAGGGGAAAATTGCTATCCTGATCACTTTGTTAAGAATAATGTGATTTACAAAACAATGAAACTAGAGTTAATGGCATTATCTACTATGATATCACAAAATGGTTTGTAATATAAAGACTACATCACCAGAAGACTGTTTTCTAGGTAAACTTGATTAAGACTTCACTTTTTAGGATCGCCAGAAGCATTGTACATGTTGTAAGTTTTGTTGGAGTTTTGAGTAGCATATAGTTGATGCACTACCTAAATCATCCACTGGAGCATGTGTCAAATTTAGACCCATTGCTATTACCTCTCCTTTTTTGAAAACTATGGAGAAATTACTTTTGCTTAGTCTTGTACCTTCGCTTAAATCCTTTAATGACCCTAAACAATTCGCCTATAAGCACAGTAGAAGCACTTTAGATGCAGCTGCCGTCTTATATCATAACATTGCTTCCAGTCTAGACAAGGGGGCTAAATTTGTTCGTTGCGCCTTCCTAGACTATACATCTGCTTTCGACTCGGTCCCTAGGGACATCTTATTAAATAAACTTGCAGCTAGTCAAACAGAATGTTGGGCTGTTAACTGGTTACATTCCTATTTCTCAGATAGAAAGCAGTACACCGTATATAAAGGGAAGTCTTCCACTTCATTGCCTACTGAAGCTGGTGTCCCTCAAGGTGCTGTTCTTTCTCCTTTTCTTTTTTCTTTCTTCTTGCATGACTTGCCTCACTCTGATGAAATAAACTTTGTGAAGTATGCTGATGATTTAACGGTTTCAATGGCTGTTAACTCCCAGCTAGATTGTACTAAAATAAATAGCTTTCTATCGGAAGTCAGCAAATGGTCTGAGTCTAACGGTCTTAAACTGAATCCTTCTAAGTGTCAAACTGTTGATTTCAGCTTAAGATGTAAACGACAGTTAAAAGAAGTCATCGATTCTCATGACACTTGTAAAATTGACGACAATGATATAGGAATCAAATCAGAAATTAAGTATCTTGGACTCATTCTCTCTTCTGATCTCTCCTGGTCTTCCCATGTCTTAGCAATCTCCAGTAAAATATTCCGCCTGACATTTTACATTAAGAAGTTAAGACACTCGGGTATAACTCAACCCTTCCTCTTACAGTTCATAAACTCTTGCATCCTACCTATTCTTCTTTATTGTTCACCCTTATTCTTTCCTGGTTTGCTTAAAAAGGACTATGTCACAATTCGTAGAATACTGAAGACTGTCAGTAGGGTGAGTGGTGTCCCAGTGGACCACATAGTTAACGTCGTTGTCGATAGGCACTTGACTTCATGCAATAAATTTGCTAAAGGGATTTTGTCTGACTTGGAGCATCCGCTTTACCCTCAGCTTTCACCTTGCATCTCCTCAGGTAGAACAAGGAGTAACTTCAGAAAACTGTATGCTCGCACGTCTAAGTATAGAAATTCTATGATACCATACTTGGCACGTATTTTATGTGATGAAAATAGTGTCAGGCAAGAATTAACTAACCTTTTTTCATCTAGTAAATAAACAATTTCCTCCATCCATCCTCATATACCTTCAAGTTTTACTTTTATTACTTCTATTATATTTATGGTCCTGTTACTTCTTTGTTTTACTCTCATAATTGCAAACACCAACTTATCTCCATGACGGCAGTAATCTTTGTTTTTCCCCTCACCATATCATGTAAAGAGAACATTATACTCAATATTTTTAAACATGTTAGGATTTCTATACCACATTGCCAATACTGTGTGACACAAGCCAACGGCAATTTTCACTTGTATTCTTATTATTATTACCCTAGCTGTTATCATTATTATTGCTATTTCCATTTTATATGCTGCATGTTTTTGAAACTACCTCTATTGTAAATGTGGAAAATTTTCTGTGTGATTAATTTTTATTTATAATTTGAGGAAATTAGATGCAATATTGTGATTAATGCTGAAAATTCCATTCTGTATCACAAGTACTGTTTTTGGAATAAAGTAAATCATTATTATTATTATTATTATTATTATTATTATTATTATTATTTAATTACATGTTTCTTAACGGGTTTTTTCGATTGCAATACCATACTAGTATCACTATATTTTTAACGCTACGGATGGTAACACTTACCAAAACATATATATGAGCCATATTATAGACATAAAGTGACATTACAACTACTCCTCTCAATTGATCAGTACTACACAGTTATAAGCAAATATGTTTGCGATGTTGACCATAATTTTGGTATTAAGTAGATCACATACTGTTATTTGAACAGTTTCAGTTCCCAAAAGAAGATGTGAAGCTTCAACTCGAAGTGTGTAAATTGTAAACCAATTTGCAAATAAAGAAATCGATATATATATGGATGACGATGGCTAACCATGAAGTCTGTGACATTTTACTGTTTATTTTCGTCTCTTAATTTTAAAAAATACTTCTAGAAATTATCGCTTATGTTCGATGTTCTCGTTCGTATGAAGCAGTCGAAAGTTTGTAAGACTAAATACAAACCGTAAAAAACTAATGAAGTATGGAGAAATGATCAATGATGCACATTTACGTTTTGGTATGTAGTTTCATGATTCTTATTTCTCAGAAGCAGCACTCAGCGGGTATCTACCGCTATAAACCTTTACACAATCTCACTTTAAGACCATGAATGATGTTTATGCTCCATAGACCATAGATCCAAGAGAATGTGACTGAGTGACAGCATGATGACCACAAAAAATTAGAATTCTGCCCTGTGGACAGCCTAGAATCATGTGTATCATTGAGAAAATTCAGTTAGCGAAATAAAACTGTTCGTTGCTTACTGCTTTTAACTAATTCTCTACCTGAGTTCGATTTATAATAGGACATACCAATATTGGAATTTTCCCGTAGCCCTTTCAAGGCTTTAAAATGCTGGGAATTTAAAATACTTTTTTCCTTTGGGTTGTTATTTAAAAACTGGTGAGCTATATCCACCATCTTGGCCTTAAATCAACCCCGATCTTCATCGGATGTTACGGAAAGAGGTTTGAGTTGGTCATATATAAAATAATAAATATACAAAATAAGTCGAAGAGTTCAATTGATGATCGGAGCCGCGTAGATGTCTTTCCGGTGAATCCTGATAAGTACATTACAAATCTTTCTGATATTACCCTATCTGCTCATCAGAAAGAAGCTTCATCCCTTGGGCTCAAATTTTGTGTTCCTCGCACGCAATTTACGGATTTAGCCATCCATGCTGAGTTTGAAAACTTATTTGACCAACTCAAACCTCTTGCCGCGACATGCGATGAAGATCGGGGTTGGTTTAAGGACAAGATGGTGGATATAGCTCACCAGTTTTTAAACAACAACCCAAAGGATAGAAAATACGTTAAGACGATACAGTCCGGGATGAATGGATTATAAGCAGTTAAGTGTATAAATACAATGTATTAATAACAATAAACCTAACTAACCAATTGCATTTAATTTTGGTTATTTTAAAAAACACATTTCGTGATAATTCACTTTTTTTCCTAAAACAGAATCACGCTGCAGAGATGATGACGATTCAAGTCTAACCTATCTTATCGTTGGTGTCTCCATTTTCACTATGGCTGTGATTATGATATTTGCATTGTGCCTAAGCAATGATGAAAGCCGTGAAGTTTCAGTTGATCCGTATGTGGGGCGATTTTGAAGTTTTAAAAAAGAAATTATACGTGATGAAATAGAAACCTTTTATCTATGTTAATGTATTACACTTTTTTTGTTCCTGTTATTATTACAGTCATAATTTTCTGTTAAATGTCTTCCTTAATTAACAAACCTGTGCATACATCAAATCACCTTTAGCTTACTTTTTAAATTTACATTCTATGAATTCTTGGTTGTTCAGTTCAAACCCTTCAATTACTTAACAAGTGGGTGGATTTCTATACGAATGCATTCTCCAGTTCGATCATATTCTTCGGCAAACTAGAATTCATTACTCTTTCGAGTGTACTGTTTGTAATTAGCATTTTGAGTGACTTAACATTTGGCAAATAAACTTTTTCTACCACAAGTCGACTACTTTTATTTAATAAAGTACTAAGTTGACATAATTGCAATTCAAAAAAAATTTATATTCAGCTGCATATTTTGTAGAGGTAATTACTACAAAACTACCTGACAAGTCAGAGGGATTAGAAATCTTGTACTGCTGGATTGCCAGCTCAGCGGTAGAAAAGTAAAGTATCTCACTCCTAGTCTAAAAATTCTTTGTTCGTTTCTTCATATTGTCGTGTTGCATAATAGTTGCCAACTAGAATAAAACAGTTGTCAAGTTCTTGTTGTTCTCAAATGAGACTCCGTCCGGTTCCGGTTCCTGGCAAAATCTAAATTTTTATGCGGTGTAAAATTATTCCTCGCTTTCAGCTGAAAATTGACGTTTATATATATTGCGAATTGTAATAAGTAGCGGTTATCCATATATCAGTTTATAAGCTGTCGTTGGGTAATTAAGTGATAGTTAGGGTTGAAGTGAAGATGGGAGTAAGACAAGACTGTCTACTATCTCCAATGTCTTTCCTGATTGCGACAGACTGGATAATGTGACACACAGCGAGCAGCGCGAAAGCAGGCATAAAATGGACTTCGCCGATGATATATGTCTGATTTCCCACAAACTTGAAGATATGCAAGGGAAAAGCAACAAGTTGGCAGAAGAAGCATCATAAATAGGACTTCAGGTGAACATAGAGAAGACAGAGGTAATGAAGATTCCTGAACAACAGCAACAACAATCAGCGTAAATGGGAGGAGTCTGAAAGAAGCAACCTCATTTACCTATATCGGAAGCTTCGTTTCAACTACTGACCGACGGAACTGATGAGGATATCAAAGCGAGGATTGGGAAGACAAAGCAAACTTTCATTACTCTCAAGTCTGTGTGGAGATCAACAGCACTCAGCCTTAAAAATAAGAACCGGATTATCAACTCCAATGTGAAGTTAGTGCTAATTTATGGATCAGAGATTTGGCGTGGCGTCACGAAGGGCACTTCGAACAAACTACATACCTTCATCAGATGGTCGGCTAGAAAAGATCAGCAATAGGGATCTCTGGGAGCGAACCAACCAACCAGGAACCGAATGTGCAACAAATATGCAGGAAGAAATAGAGGTGGATTGGCCATACTCTGAGAAGAACATCAAGTTACATCACACGCCAGGCCATCGCTTGTATATGACCCGAATGGGAAGCGGCGAGTTGGTCGTCCGTGAGAGGGTGACATGGAGGAGGTCATGCGAAGAGGAGATGGAAGCACGTGGGTAGACATGGAGCCAGGTGAAGATGTTAGCAGAGAACTGAAATCAATGTAGACGTGGAGCGCGCTGGTGTGTAATGCCAACGCGCTAAAGTTTGCAAGCATAATATCACTTCGATTGGATCGTTTACAACACCTGATGTCCGTTTTAGTTCATCCTGATATCATCAGTCCACTACCTACTTCTAATGGCCACGCATACTTGCTCACCTGCGTCGATTGTTTCACTGGTCGGCCAGAAGCTGTTGTCAGTGTGGATGTAATGGTTGAGACTATCTGTCCTGTGCTGATGGAAAGATGGGTCGCACAGTTTGGATGTTCAGCTACAGTGACAATTGATCGTGGGTAGCAATTAAAGTCAAAAACTTTCAATAGGGTACTGGAGCTGTTGCAATGCAAACGCATCAGAACAACGGCATGCCATCAATCTGTAAATGGAGTAGTAGAGCGTTTTCATCACCAACTTAAAGCTGTGTTAATGGATGTCGACAACATCAAATGGACAGAGTCCCTTCCCTCAATCCTCCTTAGCATCCGTTCAGCCCTCAAGGTTGATATTCAGTGTACCACTAGCAAGTCAGTATCTGGAACCACACTCCCTATGCCTGGCGAGATTATTTCGTCAGAAGGTGCTGAACCAAGTGTTGCTGATGTCCAGTGTTAAGCTCAGCACCTAAAACGCATTATGAAACGACTCCAACCAACTGCCACACGCAATAATTACAAGAAGGTGCAAGTAGATGGCAGGCTTGAGGAATACACTCATGTTTCGGTGTGCTGTGATGCCGTACGTAAACCTCTGCAACCCCCTTATGATGAACCTTTATAAGGTGATTAATAGGAAAGAAATTCTTCGTTATCGATCAGTTTGACCGCCATGACACAGTCAGCCTAGATATACATAGAAGAATCGTTACCCTCTCCCCCCCCTAACTCAATAACTTCTCCTGTGTCTAATTCCAAGCCAGACACTTTTAGAGTATCCCACCACATCATAACGACTAGCTCATCTGTGTTTGCTAAAAAAAATAGCGGTTATCTTCATGTAACCTTAAGGTCGTCAACGCCAAGTTCAAATATATGGTGGAAATACGGTTAATGAAACAATCTAACAACCCATTTTCATCATATTTGCAGGTAGCGCTTAAATATAAGTACATGGACTGAATTCCGCTGGTGAGTACCGAAGACTTAATGCTAAAATAGTCTTGGACCGTTAAACATCCTCATACATTACTTGATTTCAACTTTGTAAGGGGCACCTGTATTTGGTAATCCCTACCCTTCGCTCGAGCTGCTTTCGCTGACTTACACCATCTCTGGCGTAGGCGTGACATCCGGCCATCAACCAAGGGACGTGTGTACTGCTCAGCAGTTCCCTCCGTCCTTCTCTATGGCTCTGAAACATGGCCAATACGCGTTGAAGACATGAAAAGGTTGACTGCTTTCGATCATAGATGTCTGCGATCTCTGTCTCACGTTAGGTGGTTTAATAAGGTAAGTAATGCTGACGTTAGGCGTAGAGTGTTGGGTAAAGAGGGAAAATCAATCGACGAGGCTATAAAGTTACATAGACTGAGATGGCTAGGTCACGTGCTGCGCATGCCTAACCATCGACTCCCCCGACGGGCATTACTAGCTGATATATGTGTAGGTTGGAAAGAAGCCAGTGGTGGCCAAACAAAAACATGGCATCAATCCATGAAATCCTGGACAGTTAAACTGAGTCAGGTAGGGAGATGCAGACTTCCGGGTTGGGGCCCTCGGGACTCTAGGAATCAATGGCTGGAGACAATAGGTGACATGGCTCAAAATCGTTGTCAATGGCGCAGATGTATTCAGTCTCTGTAATCTATCATATTCCTTTCTACCATTACCCATTCTGTTTCACTCGTATACTTGTCAAACTCTATTGATTCTCTTCACTCATCTTCTTGTTTACTTTTGTGTGCTATTTGGAACGTGGCAACTCGAACTGCTGCACTTCGGTGCCAAGTTCTATGTTGAATCCAGACAAACAGACCCTTCGCACCATCCTAGTTCATTCTGGTGATTTCCGGAAGATAGCAGTCGTTGTACCTTCTTGTATTTCTGAGTCTACTCGCACGCCCAGCAGTCTACGCAACATTGCTCATCTGGGTAATATTTTAACAACTAGTTCAGAATAAAGAGCTACGGAATTCTTCAACAGATCGGATGGCCACTGCAAACCCCACTTTGCTAGTTTATACGAATATCAAGCTCCTCTCAGTATTTCTGTTGATCTGTCTAACGGGGTAATTAAAACTTTACTGAACAACTTAGGAGTGACACATGGAGAGCTCCTACTTTATTTTCCAGAAAGTATCTGCACCAGAGATGAGATGAGGCACATTTGATCAACAGCAAACTCACGTTTATACCATCATCATTTCGCAGCTTGGTATACATGGAACGGGCACCACTGAACCTGGTAACTGAAGCTTGGCTAACTAATGAGATACCTGACACAAAGCTGATAAATGATAATTATGACATTCACAGGAATGATAGAGTGGACAAAAGAGGAGACGATTGTCTAATATATGCTTCTAAATCCACTGACTCCAATACGTTTACAAACCTAACTATCGACAAACTCCTAGAATCTAAGTGGATACACATCCACACCAATGAAAACAAAATTCCTGTGGGATGTATAGACAGAGCCCCTAACAGCCCTAAAACGACTGATACGGCTATCGGAGAAATACTAGAGGTTGTACCTACGCTGGAATTAGACTACAAACTAGTTTGTGGCGATTTCAACTTGCCCGTGGTAGACTGGGATACCTGCATTGGACCTGGAACCCACGAGGGGCTCCTAGAAGCTATAGATGTAGGAGGATGGAAGCAGTGCGTACGCCTTTCAACACGACATAACAATATTCTCGACTTAATAATCTGCCACAAAATACAGCCGATTTCGATAGAGGTGGGGGATAAACTTGACAGCATTGATCACAACATATTTTACTGCACTCTACCTCTTCAACTAACAACTAAACACACTTAAAATTTCCCCGACTTACTATCAATATAGGGACTATAGAAATGCCGACTAAAAATTCCTACCAGCGCTTATGAGAAGCACTGACTGGGATGAATACTTTACCAATAATAACTTAGAAGTAACACTTAATACCTTCTACAAGACAATCAGTTCGGTAAGAGACAAAATAGCACCCTTAAAATCTGCCCTAAAGACACCAACTCAATTCATAGACCGCAAAACGCGATTAGAACTAAGGAAATTTTATTTATACAAAGAATTTAGTGCATTACACCAGATACATGAAACATTTAAAAATCTTGAGGAGAGACATAAAATGAAAGCACAAATCGAGGAAAATAAAGCCCTAGGGGCACCT